TTCAGTTGTTCAAACAGCCTCTCAATCTGGTGACAGATTCCGCATATGTTGCGGGTGTGGTCAAGAGATTGGAGGGTTCGCTCTTGAAAGAAGTCAGTAATGAGGTTTTATACTCATACCTGACAAGCTTGAAAACACTGCTAGAGAGCAGGGAAAGGGAGTATTTTATCACACACATTAGAGCGCACACAACACTTCCAGGGTTTTTAGCGGAAGGGAATGCTCGGGCGGACAGGTTGACAATGCCCATTTTGCAAACGCTGCCGGACATTTTTGAGCAGGCAAGGTTAAGTCATGCGTTCTTTCATCAGAATGCGCAAGCACTGATGGAGTCCTTTCGTCTCACAAAGAGTCAGGCGAGGGAGATCATTAGTGCTTGTCCAGACTGTCAGCTTGTGCAGCCACCTTCTTCTACCGGGGCCATCAATCCGCGGGGGCTGCAAAGTCTTCAGTTGTGGCAAGCTGATGTCACAAAATACCCATCTTTTGGGAAGCTCAAAAATGTTCACGTTTCTGTAGATACATTCTCAGGTGCAGTCTTTGCTTCAGCACATGCTGGGGAAACAGCAGACCATGCTTGCCGACACTTTCTGCAGGCATTTGCAGCATTAGGTGTGCCTCAGGAGATAAAAACAGATAATGGTCCAACATACACAGGCAGGGTGCTTGACAGATTCCTAAAAAGATGGGGTGTCAGACACACGTTTGGTATTCCGCATTCACCCACAGGTCAGGCAATCATTGAGAGAACACATCACACCCTAAAATCCCTTCTGGACAGACAGAGAAGGGGTGAGCCAGAGGCAACACCTCACATGAAATTAAATAAGGCATTGTATGTGCTGAATTTCCTAAATAGCTCATCCTCGGAACCTGATCCACCGATCGTGAGACATTTTCTAAACAACACACAGGCAAAGCTAAGGGAAAATCCTTTAGTTTTGATCAGGAACCCAGAGACCGGACAAATAGAGGGTCCTTTCAGACTAATCACTTGGGGAAAGGGTTTTGCTTGTATCTCCACAGATCGAGGTCTGAAGTGGGTGTCAGCGCGGCACGTGAAACCATTCCGAACGCGAGAACACGAGAATGCTGATCCAAGAAGCAGAGAGACGAGTACTCAGACAGAAGTCGAGACTCGGGCTGCGAAAAACGACCCAGAAGAGAAATGAAAAGAAACTAAGGACTTTGGGGGGTTTTCACATAAAAGCAAAAAAAGTCTTTTGGTGCAAACAGAAGGGGGAGATGTGGGATCTCAGTCTCTCAGAACTGGGGTGCAGGGTGAACAAGACCCCCCCCTGGGGGGCTCGGGAGTCCTGGAATGCTGCCGGAGATGTCTGGTGGCTGGACTTTGATCCCACATGGGAGATGACATCAGTATGAGGACGGGAGGATTTCACTGGGGTGAATGGTGAAGGGACAAGTTAATTGGGGTGTGAGATACAGGGCTTAAGATTTCTGTACAGGGGGGTCTAGAGAAGTAAGATGGAAGAATTGGGGCGTGCCCTTCTCCTTCTTCTTCTTCCTCTAGGCCTCCATCTTCTGTGGTGATGTTGGCACTCCGGGATTGGACCTTACTGGGGGAACACTGGTTAATAAGGGTAGAGGGTATTGGAGAAAAATGATAAATATTGTATACGTAACTCCGGGTATAAAGATAGGTGACCGCCCCAGGGGCTTTCAGTGTGTGCCCATGGCTGACTGCTGAGCAGAACTCTGTCAGGCCAAGAGAAAATCTTTTAGATAAGCAATTAATAAACACCAAGACCAAGAACAAATCTGAAGCTTCCTCTCGTCCTTTCGAACCCGGGGGCCCAAGGCCATCTTTGGGCTTTTCCCCAGACCATCTGAACAGCCCAGAAATCCCACACCTCTCTACCTTCCACATTTCAGGTTGAGGACTACCAAACCTACCAGTCCTGGACTAACCACCAATGCCAAAGCCAAGCATATTTGGGATTTACTAATCAAGTATTTTTCATAAAATGCAGGATCCCTGAGGCTGGAAAATCCCTGCCAGCCCATGGAGTCCCAGCTGTGCCCAGTGCCCACCTTGTGCCCAGCCCAGAGCACTGAGTGCCACCTCCAGCCCTTCCTGGGGCACCTGCAGGGCTGGGCACTGCAAAGCTCCCTGGGCAGCCCCTGCCAAGGCCTGAGCACCCTTTCCATGCAGAAATTGCTGCTGCTGTCCCAGCTGAGCCTCCCCTGGCCCAGCCTGAGGCCCTTTCCCCTTGTCCTGTCCCTGTTCCCTGGCAGCACAGCCCGGCCCCCCCTGGCTGTCCCCTCCTGGCAGGGAGTTGTGCAGAGCCACAAGGGCCCCCTGAGCCTCCTTTGCTCCAGGCTGAGCCCCTTGCCAGCTCCCTCAGCCCCTCCTGGGCCTCCATTCCCTGCCCTGGACACGCTCCAGCCCCTCCAGGTCCTTCCTGGATTGGGGACTCAGAACTAGACACAGCCCTGGGGGTCCCTCAGCAGGGCCAGCCCAGAACGGGCTGCTTGGGGTTTAGTGAAATATTAAAGCAGATTATTCCACTGGAGCTTCACTTTCCAGCCACATTTAAATCCCATCAAATCCTTCAATACTAAAACCTGCCAAGAGGTTTTTTTCTGCCTCCAAAGATCCCTCAGGCCACAGATTCCAGCACCTGTCAAGGAAACACAAATGTTTCTGTTTCTCAGCAAGTTTCTGGCTCCTGTTCCTCTTTGGGGCTTCCAACCCCAAATGTCTCTCACCAGGGAGGAGAAGGCTCCTGAACAGCCTGGCCCTTCCACTCCTCCCTCCCTGCAGGCACCACAGATGTGCCAGGAGTTAATTGGCAGCACTGAGCTAAATTAGTCATCCTCCCTCAGCACAGGTGACTGTCTGAGCTTAACCAGCCAGAATAATCCCAGCCTTTCAGCAGGAAACCATTTTAGCAGGAATTTTCCCATTCACCTGCTTCAGTGAGTTAATTAGAGCTGCTTTATTTCACTACTGCTAAACACAGCTTTAAGTAAGTTCCTGATCCTTTAAAAAAACCTCAAGGAAGAGTTGCTATCTATGTCCTTATTTTGCACAGCTGGTTTTGAGGCAGAAAACAATACAGTAGATAAGGAACAGTAAATAAGTGAGGAGAGAACTGATTTTTTAGCTATTAGTGCAGCAAGGGGAGGTCTGGTCCTGGTGCATGAGGATGAGGGATGTTCCTGCTCCTGGACCTGGCCAGAAGCTGTTCCTTGATCCCTGATCCCAGGGCACAAGGTCCCACTAATCCTGGGGCTGGCAGCACTGGGATCTCTGCTCTCTCTCAGCCTGTTGTTACACACACCAAGGGGAAGAAATATCTTCAGGCATTTTTCAAATATTACAGGATAGGGAAAGAAATTGCCCAAAATCTTACTGAAATTCCCCATGAATGAGGTGCTGAAGCTCCTCTGATCTGCTGGCAAATACAGAGAGAGATTCTAACACAATATATCACATTCCTTTCAAGTTTCCAGCCACTCAGAATTTTTTCTAATATAAATATCATAGAATCCCAGAATGGTTTGGATTGGAAGGGACTTCAAAGATCAACTTGTTCCACCCCTGATATGGGAAAGGATGCCTTCCACTATCCCAGGCTGCTCCAAACCCCATAGAACCTGGCCTTGGACACTTCCAGAGATGCAGGGGCAGCCACAGCTTCTCTGGTCAATGGCATTTGCAGCCTACAGCATCTTTTACAATATTTAAATCAAAAAAAGAAGTAACAGAAACAGCCAAGTGATTCCTTTTTCTCTGCAGTCCACGTAAAACAGGCTGCTGATCAAAATGAAACAATTATCAATCCTTTTGAAGTGCCCCTTTTTTCCCCTGGATGCAAGGACTGGCTTGTGCATGGCATGACACAGAGGGCAGGAAGGTGGAGAGGGTTTCAGCAGCCTCAGGGAGTGCCAGGGTGTGGGAATCCTTAAAATCAAAGGGTTTGGGAAAGCTGCAAAAGGCCTCAGAGACAGCAGAACTGTGATTAGAGCTAAGCAGCAGCCATGAGATTGGTCAGCAGAAAAATTGTGTAAAATGTAGAAAAGCAAGAACAAAGAGAGCAATGGTGTGTGTATTAATGCTTGTCTAGAATAACTCCCTAAGCTGCAGAAAAGTTTATCTAGTAAGATGTTAGGAAGTTTTAAGCTTAATAATGGAGCTCTGTGCATTGTGTTTTAAGGCTTACAAGCAGGTATTGTATTTGAAATAAGCAAGCATTGTTTAACCAAAGGTACGAGTGCTTATAGTGGTTGGATAGAACTACTGTCATTGTGCTTTTGCTTTGTGTGATTGGTCAAAAAACTTATAAAGTGAGTTGTAACATTGAGTTCTTGGTCTGCTGCCTGGGATGTGAGCTGCTGGCATCTTCCCATTGTCATAACCATGTAATGAGAGTGATGCTGGAAAATCAAACAGCTCAAGGCACGTTCCCAGCAGCCCTGTCCTGTTTGTGATTTGTACAGAGCCCCTCAGCCAGAGATCCCAGGGAAGCCCCCCTGTGTACCTGGAGTTTGTGATTTGTACAGAGCCCTGTGACGGTGTTCACAGGGGTCTTAGGATGAGGGAAGAGATGAGGATCTGACTCCATGTTTCAGAAGGCTTGATTTATTATTTTATGATATATATTATGTTAAAACTATACTAAAAGAATAGCCATCATCAGAAGGCCAGCTAAGAATAGAAAAAGAAGGAATGATAACAAAGGCTTGTGGCTCAGACAGAGAGTCCGAGCCAGCTCACTGTGATTGGCCATTAATTAGAAACAACCAACATGGGCCAATCACAGATGCACCTGTTGCATTCCACAGCAGCAGATAATCAATGTTTACATTTTGCTCCTGAGGCCTCCCAGCTTCTCAGGAGGAAAAATCCTAAGGAGAGGATTTTTCATAAAAGATGTCTGTGACAGAGCCCCTCAGCCAGTGATCCCAGGTAAGCCTGCGTACCTGGAGTTTGTGATTTGTACATGGACCCTCAGCCAGGGCAGCCCCCTGTGTACCTGCAGGTTCAGGAGAACAGCGCCGATCCTCATGGCCTCGCTGACCTCCAGGCTGTACATCAGCTGTGGGAAGCGTGGGGGGCTCTGGTTGTTGGGAGGCAGCACCTCGATGTAAACAGTGGTGATGGAGCTCCTGCAGTGCAAGGGGGAAAAAAACCCAGTCAAAACCAGTTAGAATCAATAAATCCAATCCACAAGGCAACCCACAGTGGTTGATTTACACATTGTGTGTCCTTGAGCTCTAACAGCCTCCCTTTGCTCCTCTAAAAGCTTCAGGACATAATTTTCCTTCTGGATCAAAAGGAAAGCAGGCTGCCACATTCACAGAATCACAGAATCACTGGGTTGGGTTGGAAGAGACCTCCAAGATCATTGAGTCCAACCCAGCCCCAACACCTCAACTAAACCCTGGCACTCAGTGCCACATCCAGTCTGTTTTTAAACACATCCAGGGATGGTGACTCCACCACCTCCCTAGGCAGAACATTCTAGTACTTTATCACCCTTGCTGTGAAAAACTTTTTCCTAATATCCAACCCATATTTCCCTTGGTGCAGCTTGAGACTGTGTCCTCTGGTTCTGGAGAAAGAGCCCAAGCCCACCTGAGCACAACCACCTTTCAGGGAATTGTAGAGGAATTCTGAACAGGAAGAAAAGCTCAATAATTTCCCCCAAAGCAGCCCAAAGTGATGCAATTTCAAAAACAGAGCAGTGAGATATCAGTGCACACTCCACAAACAAACAGCTCCAGATGTGCTGTGCCCTCTGCAGGCTCAGCTCAAATTCCAGGTTGGAAATTTTGCCATGCACAACAGCCAGCCCTGGAGCATCCCTGCTGGCAGCCAGCTTGCTTCCTTTGCTTGGAAAATGGGGAACAGGAATGGTGGCAGAGAGGGAAATGCTGGGAGAAGAGAAGCACACAACTCTGCTGTAATGCTGTGGGTCAGTAATCCCCATTTCACAGCAATAAATCCCATTTCAGAGCAGTGGCAATGCAGGAAGCTGCAAACCCTTGAGCTGCACTGAATCCCTGTCCCAGACAGACTGCAAACAGCATTTCAGGTGGAATACTGAAGGTTCTTTGGGACACTGAAGACCCTGCACAGACCATCCTGCAAACCCACTTGATATCCAACAGCCTCAACTTGAGAAAGGGAGCCAAGAGTCCCCCTGGAGATGAGAGATTAAAAATCCGACTTTAAAGGATCTTTCTCATGCCTCTTTGCTCCATTATCCCATCTGCCTCCCCTCCTGGATGTCAGCACAGCATACCCACCCCAGAACAAACTCCTGAGAACAGCAAGTGCTGTGCTGCAGGTGTGGCTTTTCCCCTCATAAATCCTTGGATTTATCTTGATAAATCTCAGGTTTTAGAGCTGCAGGAAAGAAAACAAAGGGATTTGTCCCAGCTCTTTTTGAGGTGGGGCAGGAAGAGGGAGAGAGAATAAAATCATGAGCCCAAAGAGCTGCTTCTTGCAGAGCTAGCTAACTCCAGAGCTTTTTCAGAGGGTCCTACCCAAAATTACCCGACATTTATTGTTGGGATGGATGGGATATTGGGCATTAGGAATTGTTCCCTGGCAGGGTGGGCAGGCCCTGGCACAGGGTGCCCAGAGCAGCTGTGGCTGCCCCTGGATCCCTGGCAGTGCCCAAGGCCAGGCTGGAGCAGCCTGGGATGGTGGAAGGTGTCCCTGCCCTGGGACTGGATGGGCTTTAAGGTCTCTCCCAGCCCAAACCATTCTCACACTCTACGAATAAGAAGCAAATTTTCTTCAAATATTTAAGGCAAAACCACAGAAGTAAAGCACTAAGAGTCTGCAAACTAAAAGCACTCTAATATGAAATGGCTTTTTTTGCAATTCCAATCCATTTTTTTATTAACACCTTGCCTTTTTCCCCTGTGTCTTTTTTGTGGGTTATAGCCCTGTTAAGGAGCTGGCAAATTCTCCTCTGGCATGGGAAGGGGATGGAACTGAGCCAAGCACTGCAGCTGGCGTTTGCAGGTGAATACACAGAGACCAGCACAGCATTTGGGAACTGCAGAGAGCTCCCAAAATCACTCCAGCATGGAAAACCAGCTTTTGTGCTCCACCAGCTGATTGAAAGTCAACTGCATCCCCATCTCTGCTTAAATCATCTCCACATGGAATCATGGAATGGTTTGGGTAGGAAAGGACCTTAAACTCATCCAGAATTCCCCTTCCATGAGCAGGGACAGCTCTCACTATTTTAAGCTGCTCCAAGCCCCATCCAACCCGGCCTTGGGCACTTCCAGGGATCCAGGGGCAGCCACAGCTGCTGTGGACAATTATAAAATCCAGGATGAATGGATTTCCATCCATGTGGACCAACCTATCTTGAGTTGATCCAGCAGAACCCTGCATCACCAAGTGATATGAATCCCACATGCAGGAATCTGAGGGATTGTGAAAAGCTTAAAGTCTGACCTGAAATTCTTTGATTTTACAAATGTTATTTTTTTTCCAAAACCAGAAATTGTTGTGTTTCAATATAGAAGTGGACTGTGCTGAGAAGGGATGAATTCTCCAGCCCTAGAAGGTTTCAAGAAACAACTGGATGTGGCACTTGCTGTGGTTTAGTTGACAAGATTAAACTTGATCTTGGAGGTCTTACCCACCTTGACAAGTCCATGATATCTCAATAACTTACATGACTAATTATAATTAATAATACTCGACCCCCAAATCTCAGTTGGGACACAGCCACTCACCAACACTTTAAAATGTCATTCCATGCAAAAAAAAAAACCCAACAAACCTACACAGAATTCCCAATTCCAATTTAAATTTGTGTTCACAAAGGCTGTAGAACTACAGGTTCAGGGTCTGGGTTTTGCTTTGGGCATAAGCAAGGGGGGAGACTGAAATTCAGCCACTTTCCAGGTGAGTTTGGTTATCCTGGCAGAGCTTTTTGCTTCTTATTTGCCTTGAAGGCATTTTCAGAGGAGGAAGCCCAGGCTCCCAACATCCATCCTCAGAAATACACATGTTTAGGCAACACAAAGATTTCTCCAGCACAAAAGGAGCTGATGGCAATCAGAGCTGTAGTGTGGAGCCACACCATGGGGATCTCAGACTCTCTGGAGGGGAATTACTGATTTTTGGCCTTCTCTCTGAAGCACTACACAAAATAAATGCATAATTGTCCTCAGTTTTCTCCTCAGCAGTACCAACAGCCTGCTACCAGCTCGAGAGGGTTTATCAAAAAAGCAAGCGGGAGGAAAAAGAGAGTGAAATTCAACCAAGGGACTGCTACCAGACGTTAATTTTATGAACAACTTAACAAGTTGAATGGACAGTAATTATAAAATATGTGCACACCAGCATGAACTGCTTTCTTGGAGACATGACAGAAGCAGCAGGTCCTGAGGAAAATCCAATTACTGAAATCCTAGTTTTGTATTTTATTTCCTTCTTACATTTCCCATTTGAAAAAGAGGTTTTCACTTTACAGCTGTGGGAGGTTTGAATGCTGGAACCTCCTGTTCCTCCCTTCATGCTCTTTGGACAAGGAGGTTGCACATTATCAATGACAGGCCCAGAACACAAGAGATATTTTTTGTTCCCTCCACACCTTCATGAAATGACATTTTGGCACTTTTAGAACACAAATTCCACAGAAATAGGTAAGCAGGGCTTGATACTTTGCTGGTTTTTGAACACATACATCATAGAAATGTTTGGATAAAAAGGGTCCTTAAAGATGATGATGTTCCCCTCCTTGTCTAAATCCTAAATTTGCAGTCTGCTCTTTTTCAGCTGGGGTACAACAGAGACAATTTTGCCCTTAGGAATTTAAGTCTTAGTGGGGACACTGCACACCCTCCACCTGGAGAGGCTCTCCAGCTCAGCCACCCCATTCTTTGGGGTCCTGTTTGCATTTTCTGAACAAAAAGCATCTCGCTTCTCACTTGCTTTCTTCTTTCCACCCCTCCACCTCAATGAATGAATGGACATGCACAGTGACAGCACAACTGGGAACTTTCAAAAAACAGACCATGGCAAGCAAATGAAATCATGAAAACCCAGTGCTGTAAGGGAAATATCATTAAGGACCACAAATGTCAGTGATATTTTGCCCAATGTCCAGGAGGAATGATGAGGAGGACTCCATCGATATCAGAAGGATAATTAATTACTTTATTGTACTATATTATTCTATACTATATTACATTACATCTAAACTGAGTCTGCCAGGCACTCAACTGCACAATGTCACCATGAAATTTTCTGAAAAATCCCTTTGCCAGGATTTTTTCTCCTGGGAAGCTGAGAAGTCTCAGAAAAGAATGAAAACAATAATTATCTGATTGCTTTGGAATGTGGTCTGGACATTGTTTACCAACAGGTGCATCTTTGCTTCGTTTCATATGAATTGTTTTAAATTAATGACCAATCACCATCAGCTGTGTCAGACTGATTCAGTCACGAACTTTCATGATCATTCTTGTTAAGCTTTCTGATGTATCCTTTCCCTTTCTTTAGTATAGTTTAATATAGCATTTTTTAAAATATAATGTAATATCATAAAATAATAAATCAGCCTCCTGAGAACTTGGAGCCAAATTCTCATCTCTCACCTCGTCCTGAGGACCCTCACAACACCACACACAACATCTCATGACTGTCAGCTTTCAGCCCTGACACACACACTCTTGGCCCTGACAGGCCAAGGGAACAAAACCCCATCACTTGGGGTAAACAACCTCCAAATTGCATTCTACTTTGGCACAAACACAGGCACAGCAAATGAGATGAGAATTGTTTTGATTGTTCTTTTCTCTGCTTCTCTCAGGTTCAGAGAATGTGGTCTGGAGATCCTTTACCAATAGGTACATCTTGGATTGGGTCCATGTGAATTGTTTTTACTTAATGACCAATCACAGCCAGCTGTGTCAGACTCTGAGTCAGTCACGAGCTTTCATTGTCATTCTTGTGGAACCTTCTGATATATCCTCCTCCTTTAGTATGGTTTAGTATAGCATATTTTTAATATAATATCATAAAATAGTAAATCAGCCCTCTGAGAACTTGGAGTCAAATTCTCATCTCTCACCTAGTCCTGGGGACCTCACAACACCACACACAACATCTCATGACTGTCAGCCAACAGTCCCAACACACATAGTTGGCCCTGATAGACCAAGGAAACCAAACACCAACACTTTGGGTAAACAATCTCCATATTTGGAGACAATCTCCATTCTAGTTTGGCACAAACACGGGCACGGGAAACGAGACAAGAATTGTTTTGATCATTCTTTTCTCGGCTTCTCCCAGGTTCAGAGAATGTGAACCCCACACACAAAGGGCAAGAACTCTACTGCATGTGCCACTTTTCCAGAACAGAGACGTGGCCTAGAGACATGGGGGTGTGGCACAGGTGTTACGGCTGAGCTGCTGGAGTAATTAGGGGGTGCATTAATTACCTTCTCTGCGCAGGGGGGGCACAGTCAGACGCTCTGACGGTGAGGGCGTAGGTGCGCCCCACGACCAGCAGCACCCCAGGAGCGATGGTGATCAGGCCCGTGTGCTTGTTGATGATGAAGTCCCCCTGAGCCCCAGCCAGGATTTCGTACACTATCTGCCCATTGGCTCCCTCGTCTGCATCCACGGCTGTCAGCTGCAAGGCAAAACCACGGGGTCAGCAGGGGAACACCTCCAGAGGCTCTGGGAAGGTGATTCCGGAGGAGGAGAGGGGAGCTCGGACACCTGGAATGCACACAGGAATTTCTAACAAAGATACAGCTGAAATGAACAGTAATAGGTGTAAAAACATCATGAAGCAGAGAAAAACTGCTTGCTGAAGACTGCAAGTCAATTATTTTAGGGTACAAATTAAGAAACTTATTTAGACTGAGCTTATTCCCTGTGGGTTGGAATATATAAGACTTTCTCATGTGAGAAGAAGACTTTTTGGTCGTCTTTGACAACTTTTGTCGTTCAATAGTAATGAAAGGTTTGTATTTATTTTTTTCCCACCTTTCTGTCCACTTTTCCAGGTGACAGCCCTGGTAGTGCCAGCAAGTGTCACCTCCAGGCCTGGCATTCCAAGTCCTCCTTATGCAGAGCTGGAGAGCAATGTTTGTATTCATATGCACCTACTGCTGTGGAAGCCAAGGGGAAGGGAAATGGTAGCTGCTCCCATATAGATACACACCTGGAATCCTGGAATCAGGTGGGAAAAGCCCTCTAAGATGGTGAAGCCCAACTGTTAACCCAGCACTGCCAATGCCACCATGTTCCCAAGTGCCAAGTTGTCTTTAAATCCCTTGAGAAAAATCTAAATCCTGGTATTACACCTGAATTCTAATGGTGAACATAATGAAGTGAGGGGGTTCTTCTCTTCGCCCAGGAAAGGCAGTGGGTTTATCCCTTTTCTGTAGTGAGCCACACTAAACAAACTCATAGACAGGAATTAGAGCCCAGGGAATATATTTGCTTTTAGTGAATAATGGAAGAAAATCCCAGAGTGGTTTTGATTGGGAGGGACCTTAGAGCCCATCCCATTCCTCTCCTTGCCATGGGCAGGGACACCTTTCACTATCCCAGGTTGTTCCAAGCCCTGTCCAACCTGGCCTTGTTGTCTCTTCCTCCTTTAGGAGTTGTTTTGCTAATACACAGATTCCTCACCTGCCTTTTCATTCTGTAGGAAAACATTCCCTCAAACAGCACGAGGAATGACATAAAGTGGACTGAGCAGCACTGGAACATCCAGGAGGGACAGGATCCAGCTGTGCATCCAGCTGGCAGTGGAACTTACAGAGAATGATGGCACCATGGGGTCCTCTGCTGCTCCCAGCTCCAGGCGAGCAGTGGGAGGTGGGGAATGGGAAAGGGCACCAGCAGGGGTGACAGCAGAGCTGTCCTGGGATGTCCAAAATAATCCCAGCCTCAGGAAGGATCCCTGCAGGGATCCCAATGTGAGGATGAAAATTCAAAGGTCTCTGCCTTGGCTTTCCTGACACAAACACTCCTGCCCTGGGGCAGCACGGATGGACGAGGGGAATGCTGGATGTCAACAGCAAGGGAAAACCTCAGCATTGACTGCGAGGCCAAGGACAGGATCAAAAACCACTTCCTGAGGCAAGGCCAGCCAAACAGCAGCCTCAGCTTCTGCCTCTGGGCCCCTCTTGTCACCTTGTGACACCTGGAGTCAGGGACAGGAACTCCCTGATGGCCCTACCATTCTATGATAGAAAATCATTTACCGAACAGAGCAGCATCACATCAACATCAGCAGCTCACAGCCTCCCACAGCACCACCCAAGGCTGCCAAACCAGCACCCAAAACTGCCAAATCACCACCTACAACTGCCAAACCAGCATCCCAAACTACCAAGCCACCACCTAAAGCTGCCAACCACCACCCAGAACTGCCAAACCATCAGCCAAAACTGCCAAAGAACACCTAAAGGTGCCAAAAAAACCACGTACAGCTGCAAAACACCACCTACAGCTGCAAGACACCATCTAAAACCGTCAAACCACCACCCAAAACTGCCAAGCCACCATCTACAATTGCAAATCCCCACCTGAAATCATCAAAACACCTTTGCCCAAGGATGGCTGAAGATTCAGAATAGCAGAAACCAAACCTTGCCAGTAAAACAAGAATAAAACCCCAAAGCTGCAGTATCTGAGTAAATCCCGTGTGCACGCAACACTGAGTATGAAGGGGAGGATGTGAATTCATGGAATGGTTTGGGATGGAAGGGACCTTAAAGCTCATCCAGTTCCATGGGCAGGGACACTGCCCACTAGACCAGGCTGCTCAGAGACCCATCCAGCCTGGCCTTGGACACTTCCAGGGAAAAACTCAGGGATCTAACTGGTTTCTAAGATAATCTTGATCCCTCATGCACAAAGCCTCAATCAAATACAAAATTTCATTTAGAAAACCATAAATATTCTGCAAACCAAGAATTAAGCCCACAATATCTTTAAAAACGAATCCTAATTTATCTCCTACAGCATTTTAGGACACATTGTATAGTGAACATAGGAGAAATGCTTGAAACACCCCAAAAATCATGGAACAGAGGCCATCTCCTCTTAAAAATTCAAAAAACAAATTAATATTTGTGTGGTTTTTTGTTTTTTTTTTTTTAATCTATCTCATTCTCTTATTTCTTTTGGAATTCTAAAGGAGCCATGCTATGAAAACTACAATTTAATCACTCCTTCTATAGCTTCTATACATACCTGGGTGTGTTAATTAACCTTGCAGAGAATAATTATCCACCCAGCTGACAGAACTGTAAAATCCTTGTCTGCTGAACTTCAAAAGTAACACTTTCTCACAAAAAAAAAAAAAAAACCAAAAAAAAAGACAAATAAAGCCTTTATGCAAAATACAGGGTCCTGAGGATTTAATGGCAGGATTTGGAACCTGGCCAGTCTTTACTGGGATGACATGAAAAAAGAAAATTAATTGACTACACAAGCACAGAGATTTAGGAGGTTAATTAAACCTACAAATGCTTGGAAAGATAAGTAATTTGAAAAACATTTTGGGGGCAAAACCAAGAATCAAACCTGGGATTAAACAGAATTAAGGTTTAGCTGCTGCCATAATATATGATTCCAGAAATCCCATCTCCAGCTGTCCCAGCCCGATAGAGCTCCATCATTAACAAGATTTAAGAAACAGAGGCTAAAACGTAAAGGGAGATGAGCAAAACAAGGTTTCATTTACTCTGCTAAGAAATTTTCATCCAGCCGGATCAGCTCCATTGCATCAACATTTAATGTACTAAAAGTTTGGCAAAATAGGTGTGGATTCTGCTGCAGCAAGAAGTGGTTTTGTTGGGAGGAAAAGAAGGTTTAGGAGTGGTTTTCTTGGGAGGAAAAGGAGGTCTGGGAATAATTTTCCTGGGGGGGAAAAAAGGAGATTTAGGAGTGGTTTTCTTGGGAGGAAAAGGAGGTTTGGGAATGGTTTTCTTGGGAGGAAAAAGGAGATCTGGGAGTGATTTCCTTGGGAGGAAAAGGAGGTTTAGGAGTGGATTTCTTGGGAGGAAAAGGAGATTTAGGAGTGGTTTTCTCAGGAGGAAAAAGAGATTTAGGAGTTGTTTCCTTGGTAGCAAAAGGAGGTTTAGGAGTGGTTTTTGGGACAAAAAAGAGGTTTAGGAGTGGTTTTCTTGGGAAGGAAAGGAGGTTTAGGAGTGGTTATCTGGGGAGAGAAAGGAGGTTGGGGAATAATTTTCTTGGGGGATTAAAAGAAAATTAGAAGTGGTTTTCTTGGGAGGAAAAGGAGATTTATAAGGGTAGCCTTAAGCTCACAAAGATCTTTTGGTCATGATATAAAACCTGCTCAGACTCAGTTCATAACTGGAGCAAACTGGGCTTCAGTGTTTGATTTTGAACCTTCTCAGAGCAACATTTGTGGTCACCTGGCCCTGGACAGATAAAGTGATGACCAACATTCCCTGCAGCTTTCACCAGATTCAATGTGATGGAAAAAATCCAGGATTGTTATGGAGATATTCCTGAGCTTGAGTCAACCCCACATAATGATCTCTGAGTAGGTTAAAGTACTTGTTCATTATCTCCTCCAGGCATTCCATCAAGCCTCAATCCATTATTTTTCCCTTGACTCTGCAGGGATGTTGGCTGAGCAATGCAAACAAAGCCCAGTTTTGTTTTCTCTCTTGGATAATCAGGTTTGCTTTGGAGATGGGAATTAATTACCTGATGGGCAAAAGGTTGCAAATAAACACGTAAATAAAAGATGAGGTGGGGTTTGGAGATGACTTCCGTGAGGATTGTTTCAGGGAAACGTTCAGGAGTGGCCAGGCATGGAACAGGTCAGAGCCCCAAGGATGCTCAAGGAGTTTGGACAACATTCCCAGGGGTGCACAGGGTGGGATTGTTGGGGTGGCTGGGCAGGGCCAGGGCTTGGATCCCCTGCAATGCAAATGTAATTCCATTAATTACATTTAAGGCCAATCCACAAGTTTTCCTGTAAAGACAAAACACAAAAAATCTCCTTATAGGAGAGGAGATCAATCTCCAAGATGGATCCATGGGGGTCCCTTCCAGCTGAGGATATTCCATGATGTTAAGATTTGGAATATCTTTGGAATATCTATAACTAAATTGTCCTGCTCTTTTATGGCACAATGCACATTTAAGAGCTGCAAATCAAGAATTTAGGCTAAGCTGGACCTTACAAATTAGTTTGTACTGGTTCTATCAGACAAAATTGCTTCAGTGGGGAACAGGGCACTGATCCCCTGTGTATTTTATTCTCCATTTTCCATCAGGGAATGATTTAATTGTTCTTGGAAGAGAGCCCTTGAACCTGACTCATGCCACTGCACCAGGAAATGAGGGAGAAAAATTAAGATATGTGGATAATGTGAGGTAGGATCTAAGAAGAGCAAAACTGGGATTGTTCCGCCTGGGGAAGAGAAGCTTCAAGGGTGACCAAACTGTGACCTTCCAGGACCTGAAGGAGCTACAGGAAAGATGGAGAGAGACTCTGTACAAGGGATGGAGGGACAGGACACAGGGAATGGCTTCCCAGTGCCAGAGGGCAGGGCTGGGTGGGATATTGGGAATTAGGAATTGTTCCCTGGCAGGGTGGGCAGGCCCTGGCACAGGGTGCCCAGAGCAGCTGTGGCTGCCCCTGGATCCCTGGCAGTGCCCAAGGCCAGGTTGGACTTTGGGGCTTGGAGCAGCCTGGGACAGTGGAAGGTGTCCCTGCCATGGCAGGGGTGGGGGGAATGGATGGGATTTAAGGTCCCTTCCCACCCAAACCATTCCATGATCCCATGAATTACATTTATGGCCAGTCCACAAGTTTTCCTGTAAAGACAAAATACAAAAAAATCTCCTCATGGGCCAAGATTTAGGTGAATAATACTTTTTGCCACCCTCTGTCCCTTCCCAGCTCTCTCATTTTCCTGCTCAATACTCCCTATTCCCTGCATCCTGAATACAAAAATGAGAGATGGCTAAAGAAAAACAGTGGATTTAAATTATTGAGATGAAATTTTGTTGCACCGCTGCTGCAAACTCCACCCATCAATGTGCAACTCATTTCAATATCTGAGTCACAGCAGTGAAAAAATGGGAAACTGGGCAGAAAAAATATAATAACATAAAAAAGATGGAATTAAGTACTTTACTAGGTTTACTCTTAACAATCTTTCTACTGACAGTTATAATTTACCACATTTAACTGTTTTAAAGTACAGATTTCTCAATTGAGAAACTCTCAGGGAGCACAATAAAATACCTATGAAAGGAGAAGGAAAAATGAGAAATTTTCAGGCTGAAAGGAGCAAAACACATAGATTTAAACTTAACTCTTCTCAAGCAAGGCCTGAAACATTTTCATAAGTACTGAGAGGAGACAACTGAAATAAAAATAAAACCTGTTTTTGTCACTTCTATGAAAGGCAACAGGGAAAGAGGGAAAAGTCCTTTGTCTAACCACCGAGGCAGAAAGAAAATAAAAATGGTGGAAAATAGAATTCTGCTTGTAATTTATATATTTGTCTGCTATTTGTAGTTATATTCAATCAGAACCTAAGAATTTTTAAATTTCCTTTATTTTTTAAGAGTATACCAGACAGCAAACACAAGTAACTTAAAAGCTATTATGTTTTGGGGCTATTTTCAAGAATAAAATCAAAACAACGTCCCACAAAATGAGGCAGCAAGAAAGCACAAACTGGGGTTATTTGTCCATTTTATTTGTACATTGTCCTGCAACTGACTCGGGGAAAAAATATAAGAGATGTAAGAATATTACCCTAAGGATAATAAAACCAAGTGGCTGAAAATCATTCTGATTATTACAGATGGCTATGAGACTGTCCAGACACTCTGAGGTCAGTGTTCTTTTTCTAACCTGCTTTTCTCTGATCAGACAAAGTGGTTTAATGAACTCATTTTCCCCTGGGAGCTGTCGGAGATGAGAATCCTCTCCCAACAGAAGATCCTGATCCCAGGAGGGAAGGTAGGGTAAAAAGTGACTTTGCTCCTCGTGGAGACAATAAGATAAGCACCCCTCAAAATCATTGTGTCAGGTTGAAAAATGGGAAAGAAAAGTCAGTCGGGACTTTGAGAAAGTCTCTATAAAGTCTTTAAATATATGAAGTGTGTATATATATATTTGAAGGTGTTTTATACCTAAAGATTGAGCAACCTACCAAAGAGTGCAGCTGCTCAAAATCTTCATCAGGGAATCATGGAACGGTTTGAGTTGGAAAAGACCTTAAAGCCCATCCATGACAGGTGTCCCTGTCATGGCAGGGACACCTTCCACTGTCCCAGGCTGCTCCAAGCCCCAGAGTCCAGCTTGGCCTTGGGCACTGCCAGGGATCCAGGGGCAGCCACAGCTGCTCTGGGAATTCCATTCCAGCCCCTCCTCACCCTCTCAGGGAACAACTCCTAATCCCCAATATCCCATCCAGCCCTGCCCTCTGGCACTGGGAGCCATTCCCTGTGTCCTGTCCCTCCATCCCTTGTCCAAAATCTCTCTCCATGTTTCCTGCAGCTCCTTCAGGCCACAGTTTGGTCACCCCAGAGCTTCTCCTGTCCAGGTGAGCACCCCCAGCTGTGCCAGTCTTTCCTCCCAGCAGAGCTGCTCCATCCCTCTGCCCATGCTGGTGCCTCCCCTGGGCTCTCTGCAGCAGCTCCAGGTCCCTCCTGTGCTGGGCCCTCTTTATTTCTGGCATCATCACCAGTCCTCTAAAATCCTAAGACCTGACCCTTAGAAATTTTTTTTTCTTTTTTACATGGGTAATTGAGAAGCTCAGATCGTCTGGCAATGTGGGATGAATTGAAAACAACTCCTCTCCCAAACCAGCCAGAATTTTCTACCTTCCCCCTCTGACCAGATCATAAACTCAGAAAATATGCAAGTACCCATGTGCTTACCGTGCAGACAGAAGCATGGATTTGGGAAAACTTCACCCTTGGAATTTAAATTTTTAGCAGAGGTGAGCTAAAGGCCCTAACTTCCCTATTATTCCTTTCCCAAATAACCTGTTCTTGCTCAATTTTCCTAAGAAATGTGTCCTCCTGCTCTTTGAAAGCCTCCAGGCTTGGAATATGTTTGCAGCTGCAAGGCCAGGGTGTGTTTGAGGATGTGGAGAGCAGCACCCTCCCTCTGAGCACAGAAACACTTCAAACAACCCCAGGAGCTGCTCTGCTTCATCCCAGGTACCATTAACACACCTCAGGCAGCTCAGAGCATCCTCAAGGCCAATTTTGAGTAGAAAACATTTTTTTTCCCCAGCAAAAATCTCATTTAGCAACAATTTCTGCCTCATGCTCCCTGGCTCCTTCATGACAACAGTATTTGCTGTTGTGTTCCCACCCAGCCTTGTGCAGCATTTTAAAGACTTTAACTATGCTTCAAGCTTTTCTCTTTCCCTCAAATCTTGCTGGAAATGCCCTTGTGGCTGTCCCTGATGGTTTTTAAGCACTCATGGCCCAAACTGATGAGGGGACAAAACACCACAAAAGAAGAGTTGAAGATGCAAAGGCACAAGTACAGCTCAATTTTCATTTCAGAAAATGCCATTTTCTAAACCATCTCCTCATCACTGCTACACTCAAATTAATTCCTGATTATTGTTCAGAAAATGGCATTTTATACTTAAGTCAGCTGAATAATTTTATTTTCCCAATATTGCCACTGCCTTCAACCACTCTGGAAAGCCACCAATGGCATCTTGCCTTCTCATCCAATTGGACTGGCAGCACTCAGAGCAGGGCTGAGATCTTGGAAGAATTACACAAAAAGAGACTTTTTCCTTTAATTTCAGTGGCACCAGGATTCACCTCCAGTCCTGCACTAAAACATAAATCAGTGCTGGCAAAATTTAATTGAAACTGCTTTTCTCTGGGCCTGTGTTCATCCCATTTTTCATTGCTCATTTACTCTACAAGCAAACTTGCAAAAACCAGCAGGTTTTCTGGCGTGGGAAAACATTCCTGATTATGTCCTATTCCATTGCTTACCTGTTCTCCCAAAATGTTTATCTCAATGTCCTGTCAATAAAGGAGAATTTTCTTTTTCTTTTTGAGATTTTTCAGCTGAAAATCTTTTGTGGAACCTCAGAGGAAGCTGCTGAGCTGCAGCTCTACAAGTAGAACAGGCCTGACATTTAGTATTAGCAATTTTGAATAGATATTTAATTACTGAAGTGGATGCAGACACCCAAACTTTCAACCTTGTTTCAGTGCATTTCCGATCGAGATGAACAAGGCCATGTACTGCTAACAAAAAGTGAGTTAACAAACGTAATAAAAGCCCTGAAATTACCTTTATAACACCTTCCCCAGGCTTCATATCCGTATAGATCTTGACACTGTAGGAAATGTTGGAGAAGGTTGGGGTATTATCATTTGCATCAATCACCACGATGTTGACAGTCACTGGGACACTCTCCTGGACTCCATCAGAAGCTGCCATCTTCAAAGGGACAAAAAAAGCAGCACAGGAAGGTATTTTAATGGTGTATTCTCAATACAATTCCAAGAGCAATCCAATCCCAACAGGGAAAATGCAGCCTGACAACCCAAAATCCGATTTTTGTTTCTCTCTGCATTTACAGTTACAAGAGGATTCAGCATATGCAAGACTCAGGGCAAAAGCAAAGCAAACACATTCAAACCTTTCCAGTACAAAAGTAAGAGGGAATAACTTGGAATGTCCCAGGGGTGGGGCTGGGATTGAAGCTGTTGAGTTCACGGGGTTTCACCTGGGTGTCATCACACCCAGGAGCTCTGTTAAACATGATGTTCAGGTTCTGGCTTTTATATTTTTCAGATTCTGTGCTGCTTGAGTGTGTGGGTCTGAGCTTCACATTAAGGGATGGTGAGCTCTGTGCACAGAGCAGGGAGACAAAACAATTCCTTCTCTAGCTGTGGACCAAGGACAAATGATCCAAATCTCAGCCCTAAGAGCACAAACAATGTGGACTGAAGAGAGAAAAACAAGCAGGGTGGGACTGCATGGGCTAAAGCTGTAATTGGACAATTAACTCCAAGATGCAAATGGAGCAGAACTGATCTAAGTGAGAGACCCTGTGACCGGGTGCCCATTTTGTGCCCATTTTGGTTCACCTTGGGTGCAGCCCTGGCTGGGCTCTTGTGCTGCCCAAGGTGGATCCATGGAGGAGATCCTTTTAATAAATCCCTAGTTTATTCTTTAACTGTTCTAGGTCAGGCTTCTCAAGGCATCAGACCCCCCAGACAACATTTTGAGGTGGGAATTACAGAGCTGGGGGCTCTTCTCATTCCACAGAGGAAATCTGAGCTCTGCTTTCCAATGAAAATGGACAGAAAATAGGGAGGCACAGACAGGGAACCCCTGAAGAAGAACTGGGTTTACCCACAGCCCATTTCCAAATCCCTGTGGAGCTGTTAAGGGGTTCACCCACAACCTGAGGGAGTACTAAATCTATTTAAGCTTTTTGCCCTCCTCATATATTTTTTTTAATACTATTGGCTGTGCTTTCTGTTAATCTATTTTTTTTTTTAAATTTGGGCCAAAAATAAAGAAAAAAGCCCAAGACAAAGCTCATGTTCCTGGCTCCAGGGATGAGGGGTAAAAGGCAATGAGAAAAACAAGGCAGGGAATAAAAAAGAGGGCTCAGATCCTGCTGTGGGATGAGGGGCAGGTGCCAATCCTGGGGCCATGGAGAAAGTGCTGGCAGGGGAATCTAAAATGCTGCCCTCACCAAACTCATCCTTCACTGCTCTCCCTTTTCTGGGTGATAAGCACTGTGCTGACTGGATAAGAAAGATTAGGCAAAAATTAGACTTTTCTGGGGGCAAAACCCCTGACAACATCCTTAAGGCATGATAGTATTTTGTTAACAAAGCAAAAATGATTTTGTTTACTTGTAGCTCTATAGATGCACAATTTGTTTTGTAGCAAACTATATTTTATTATAATATTGCAATCTCTATATTATAATAATAATAAGCAATGAATAAAAAATTACTTATTAATAATAATTAATTAGAATTACTTATATTATTATTAACTATAATTAATGGTTAATTAATGATAAATAATTAATTACATTATATATTACATAGTTATTGTAATATATTATAATGTTTTGCAGCAGTTATATTATAAAGAAGGGCCTTTATAAGTTATACATAAAGAAAATCCTTGAGTTGATCAGCATAAATTCCTTTATGTTGAGGAAGAACTCCAAGATTGAGTCCAACCCTTTCAGGGAAGACGTTTTTCCTAATATCCAACCTAAACCTCTGGATACCAGTCAAAGTGACAGACATTATGCATTGTTTTCTTGTATTCTCCTTCCATTTGTGCTTCTATTAATCTCTGACCTTGTTGTTTTATGTCTGAGCAAGATTTTTGTGTCACATCATTTTTCCATTTGCAAAAAAATAAAAGATACGGCGCTGATGTCTGATGGAAAATTTTTTTCACACCCTACAGATAATAAATGCCACTATAATGAGCAGACCTTTCAATTTTGCTCTGAAACATGGAGATAAACAGCTTTTGGATGTGAGAGAGCTGTATTTTTTGAACTTACAGAGAAGGTGTAGAGCTGCTGGACCTCCCTGTCCACGGGCTGCAGCAGGGTGAGGTAGCGGGTGATGCCACTCGGGGTCACAGTGAAAAACGTGGTGTAGTCGTTCAGGAAGAGATGGAGCTGTGGATCCTTGGTCTTTCAACAACATCAAGGGGAAAAAAGAGCATTTTGTTATTAATTCAGAGCGATATTAAATCTCTAATAAAGTCTCCAACTCACTGCTTGTTTTAGTTGAAACCTAAATAAGAACAAATGATGCAACTAAAAATCTATGAAACTGTAAAATAATAAAAAGGTAAAAAACCTCACTTCTGGCCCATAAATCTAATCTTCTTGATGAAAAATGTATTAAAAAATCACTAGAGTAAGAAAATCCAATTGTAAACAAACACCTGTTTGGTATATTGTTTTAAATAAGGGTCTTTTTCTCCCCCATTACACAGGATTTTTTAAGCCAGACACAACTTAATATGAGAAACCAGATTCAAGCATTTATCTTCATATTAAAACCCAAAAGAAGCTGAACTTGATTAACAGAGCAATAAAACAGCTGGATTGGTGCACTGAACAAAGAGAATGACATGTGGTGAAGTATTTCAGGAAAAAGAGGCAGCTCAGAGACTCTCTTTAGGTGCTAGAAAGAATCCAAAAAAATATTGCAGAATTAGGAACCTCTCAGTTGATGATGGGGGGAAAATATCATAAATGAACTCAAAAGTAATATTTTAAGGTACAAAGCCTTGTAAATTTACTCATGGCTTCTTGAGGACTTGGGTCACTCCTGATTTCCACCTCTTTCAAGGTGTTTTTTGAGTTATTTAACTGATTTGATTCTACGTGAGTTAAATTTTCAAACAATCTCCATTCTTTTTGGTGCCCACAGTATTCCAACAACTTTCCTGTTGGAATTGTATGGACAATTATTTGTCCACAATCTGGATGATTTAACCTGACTTCCTGCTGCTCTCGCTCATGAGTTACAGAATTTATTCCTGTTGGTAGGGGAATGAAAATTCCAGGAAAACGCAAAAGGCTGGGAGACAAGTCCTATGAAAACTGCCTTAAACTGCCTTAAACTGCCTGAGGAATACGGAGGTGAGGAACCACATGAGTGGTACCAGCAATGACAAAAAATCCAGGATTTTACCAGCTGCTTTCCAAGGTCATTCCACAAATCCCACCCCTACAGAGGAGGCCATGGGGAGAACCAGCTGAATATCCCAGAAACAATCCCAAAAGGAGAAAAGCTGAATTCAGCAAGAAATGTCCAAAAGTAGCATTACTTCTCTGAACACTTGCTGAATCCAAAGCTCTTCTGGAAGGGTCCCATTCATGCCATTCCTTGAGGATTAAATGCTTTGGGAGCACAGGAGAGGCCCCCAACCCCCAGCCAACCCTGACCCGCACCAGGTGGCACCAGGACAGAGCAGCACAACACCAGGACAGACAGAAACTGCTTTAAATGAACCCAAATAAAACCCCCAAACATCAAATGTCCCACTATTTAAACAAGAAAGCATTCCAGGAAGCCATGGGAAAGAATTATGCAAGTGTTCCACACCAGTGGCTCCTCAGTGCCTAAAGCTGCAACTGCAGCTCCCAGGAAAACGAAAATTCAGTTTACAGCCAGCAATGCAAACAGCAACCACTTCATTCCAGGAAAACTTAGGGAAGGTAATTGCCCATAATTGCTCACTTTGTAGACATCATAAAGTACGTTAAGAATTTAATTTACAAAACCCCTAGTTAGTAGTGCAGTTCTTGCTTTCATGTCCTTTTGAACACTAATAAACAGCACTTCTTTCCTAATTTATTCCTGAGAAAAACCAATGATGGAGATCCCAAACACTCCTGGAGCAACGTGTCCTATTCCTTTGCTATCTTTTTCTTAGAAATGTTCTCCTAATATGGAAGGTAATTGCCTTTACAGCAATCAATGCCTGTTTTACCACCTCCCAGGCATGTCAGAGCCACAGAGCAATTTATTCCCTTCATCTGGAAAAGCATTGTTATGCTTGGACATAATTACCAGGGATATTTGACATTATTGTCAGGGATCTGGGACATTATTATCCCATTTTATGCTGCCTGAAAACCCAGTTTGGCTTAACTGAACATTGCATGTGAGAGAGAACAGCCCCAGCTACACTGCCAACACAATTTTATATAATTCATTTTTTAAATAATTTTATTTTGCAGTGTGGAATTCAGCATTGTGATTTCTGGTGACATTACTGGGTCATGGAGACAAGGCTGGTCCCTGATAAATTGTTTAATGTGGAATTTTTAGTAGAAAATTATCACAATCCACACAAAAGAGCTCACATGCAACCTGCAAAGAGCATTTCAAGCACACAGCTCAAACCTGAGGTACTTCTGAATTAAAAAAGCACTTTTGTAATACTCAGGATGTCTTTGAAGATTTCTAATAATTTAATGAACATTAAGCAACCACAATGTATGACTTTATGCCCTAAATTGGGTCCAATGTGTTTAAAGGGCTCTTTGCAGGCTTCACAAACCAAGGGACAGTCCCAGCTTCAAACATCACCAGGGCAGGGAGAAATGAGGGAGGAAAGAAAGGAAGAAATCACACAATTAAACCCAAAAAGAGTGGTTTGCACACATAACACACAATACCTACAGGGGTGGCACCTGGTGGGACCTACAAAGGAAAACACAAAATGAACAGTTGAGGAAGCACAAACCTGGGACTGAGGGACAGCAGAACATTTGGGGGATTCATGGTTACAGATAAAAAAACCCAACAAAATGAGACACACAAAATGCTGCACCCAATAAACAAAGCTTGGGCCCAAGTGTGTTCCGCTTTAAAAACCTCTGGAGAAATTCCTGCATAGATGTGGATATTCCATTCCTGCTGCTGCTCAAATCCCACCAGGGGTTGCAACTCTGCCCAAAGAAAAGTGTTTTCTAAAACTGATGAGGATAAAACCAAAATTACTGGGATAATTGTGAGACTGAGCAAACAAGGGCATTTATTCTGTGTTTCAACAATCCCAAAAGTTTTTGGACAGGATCAATTTGGTTGTGAAGTTCTCCAGAGCCGCCAGAACAAGTTCCAAGAGTATCCAAACTGCTCAGACTTCCCAATTTACAGCACAGACCCATCCCCTAAAAGCTGCAGTGACAACAAAGACACTTTGATGACACAGCTGAGTATTCCAACATATTCATGTGGAGAATGATCAGCACTGAAATTCCCATGAAAAATTTGTTCTGTTGGAAGGGTGTTTCCAGCATGTGTTCTCCTAGTTTCTGGGTGAAAGGAGAAAATCTTTCCCATGTTCATCTAGAAAATGAGAGATCCAGAGCCTTGCAGAGGGGAAACGGGGAATTCTGTAATCCCAACACAAAAAGATGTGGATTTGTTGGACTGAGCCCAGAGGAGGCTATGGAGGGGCTGGAGCCCCTTTGCTCTGGAACCAGACTGGGAGAGCTGGGGAGGAGAGGGTTCCAGGAAAAGCTCAGAGCCCCTGTCAGGGCCTGAAGGGGCTCCAGGAGAGCTGGGGAGGGACTGGGGACAAGGGATGGAGGGACAGGACACAGGGAATGGCTCCCACTGCCAGAGGGCAGGGCTGGATGGGATATTGGGAATTAGGAAATGTTCCCTGGGAGTGTCAGGAGGCAGAAACCATGAGATATTAATCCTAAAATAATCAATGAAGACACACAATGCTACAGGAGCAATTCAGTGTTAGTATTTCTAGTTTTTCCTTAAGTGTAAAAATCAAAAAAAATTTAACCCCTATCTTTATAAATCCTAAAGGAATGAAAGCAGCTTTTTGTCTTTGCCTTGATCTTCTGTTTGTTTTAATAACGATATTAATGGGCTGTTTAGTTGTGGGAAGGATATTTCTTGAGTTATTACAACTGTTGGAGTGTCACAGCAGGACTGCCCAGGGCCACCAGAACTGTCCCCTTGAGACAGCACTGACTGCAAAACAATTGCAAACAAAAACTGGGAATGAAAGAAGCAATCAGGCAAATATCAGAGAAAAATACTTTGGTATTTAAAATACTTCAGTTGTCCTGGTTAAAAAAAAAAATCTATTATTTTTTCTTCTATAGTTATATTACTGAAAATTCATAACCTGCACTTGTAACTGCATTTAAAACTTATTTTATCCATTACTTGCTCTGTGTGCTCACATTGCTTCCAAGACATCCTTAAGTAAAATTCTTTCAATTTTCCCACAAGTTCTCTGCAAAAAAAAAATATATATCCAGAGAATCACAGAATGCCCTGAGGTGGAGGGAACCCACAAAGATCCATGGGCCCAGCTCCTGATTCTGCATGAGATAACCCAGGAATGCCAAGGCCAGGCTGGACAGGGCTTGGAGCAGCCTGGGACAGTGGAAGGTGTCCCTGCCATGGCAGGGGTGACACTAGATGGCTTTAAGACCCCAACCCATTCCATGATTTTTACTCAGTGCAGCTTTACCGCTAACCTTAACCACTAGATAAATTAATCTTCTCCCATGAAAACCAAAGAGGAAGTAAAAAAGAGGCTTGGGAAGCCTTGTGTAAAGAGCTCTCAGCTCACACAGTTGAAGTTCCTCATCTCAGCTTTAGTTTGCTCAGGTCTTAAGGTACTCCTGTAGCTTAATTTAATTTATGCCATTTAAACAGAGCACTTAATTATATCAGCACTTGGCAGGGCTGCTCTACTGAAAGGTCTGTTTGCAATGTCCCACCCATAAATTAATTCCTGCAAGGTTTATAGCAGGACTCTGTTATATTCCCACAGGGTTTCAATTTAGAGTGGGTTTTGTTCATTTTTTTCCTCAGACACCCAGTTAAGTGAGCACTCTCTTTCAGCATTTACCTGAGGACATGGAGTCATTTTAATATTTCAATTAACAGGCAGAATTCATTATGTCTGACCAGGGTCACCACTGGGAACTGGGATGCATCACACAGAGGGGGCTTGTCTCAATGTCTCATCAGCAATATTTAAATTTAAATATATTCCTAAAGACATGAATTTACTAAGGTACAATGAAACCATCAGGACACTGAAACCTGCAGAAGTTAATGACCATTCCCTCTGCCAACAATCCCACCCTGAGGTCCCATCCAGCTCCATGAGGAGCAATTTTAGCGTTTGGCCATTTTAGATGGGAGCTCTATGCAATTGCTGCACTCCCAGCTGGAATTCTGGGAATTCTCCTGTCCACAGCAGGTTAGAAGGATTCTGTGAATCCCTAGCACTGAATTGCAACACAGGCACTTCCATCTGGTTCTCTCACACCCATGTTACACCTGTAGCATGCCACAGCTTTGGAAAGGGCCGTGCATGAACCAGGTGGTGCCAAAGGAACAGAAACATGGAATATTCCCACCCAAGGAGGAGGCTGATCCCCTCTGGCTGTGTCAGAGAATCCCAGAATGGTCTGATTTGGAAGGGACCTTAAATCCCATCCCATTCCACCCCTACCATGGGCAGGGACACCTTCCACTGTCCCAGCCCCATCCAGCCTGGCCTTGGGCACTGCCAGGGATCCAGGGGCAGCCACAGCTGCTCTGGGCACCCTGTGCCAGGGCCTGCCCACCCTGCCAGGGAACAATTCCTGATCCCCAATATCCCATCCAGCCCTGCCCTCTGGCACTGGGAAGCCATTCCCTTGTATCACTGCACCACTGCACACCCTTGGAAAAGCCCCTCTCCATTCATTTAGATGTTAATCATCCCTGGATTTCTTTATCTCTCCCAGTGACAGCAGAACTCCACAACAAGAAGAAAACCCCAAAATAGATGTTACTACTTGGTTACTATTCCTCTGAAGATGCCTTTCACTCTGAGCAATGTTACACCAAAATCTGGCAGAGCAAAGAATTCAATGAACTTTGAGCCTCCTACTGTTCTTCCTACTCCTCTTTTTGCTTGAAATGAGGAATTCCTTTCTCTGTGACCTCCCCTTTCCCATTTCCATGGTTCAGGGCAGGCTGATCCCTGTCACAAAATGCATTTTGATTCCTCTGTGCTCTGAGCATTTATCACCTTCAACAGAGACTTCCAGAGATGTGAGCAAAACACATCAGAGAAAACCCATTTCCAAGCCTATCTGAACTCAGAACGAAACCAAAAAATCATAATGAAATTAAGATAAATTTTTTTTGAAATCATTGATCTAAATAGGTTTGTCTCAATAAAAAACAACCAAAAAAAAAAAGAAAAAAGGAGGAAAGAATCCTGAAAATACTAAAGCTGCAAGCCCCCCAAAAGAAGCAGCTGTACCTCCTCCACGTCGTTGTCCAGCACCACGAGCTGCAGGGGGGAGGTCAGGTTCCGGTTATCCGAGATGGTCGTTCCCACTGGGGAGGATTCCAGGATGAAGCCCTCGTAGGTAGACCTTGTGAAATAAGGCTTCTGGTTGTTCTCATCCAGGATCTCGATGTGGAGGTTGGCAAAGGCAGGGAGAGGGTGGCCGTTGTCTTGTTCAGCCTAAAACAAAATCACCTCATTGGTCAAAGGTTCCCAGTTATGAACATGGACTGGGGATGGTTCTACTTAAGAGTTGTAATTCAGTTTATAAATGGACTTTTTTTTCAGGACACCCTACTATGGAATTCAATATCACAGTAAAGAGAAATGCCAACTAAAAATTAGGTAGGAGACAAGAACAGGATCACCTTCCACCACAGTCACAAGAAATCCAAACCTTGTGCAAACACAGCTCCTTAAACTCTCAGGATTGAGACTTTTGGAAAAATCTCTGAGGGATGAGAGAAAACTGGGAATTGAGATTCTACAGCAGAACCCACAGCAGCAGTAAGAGAGTTAAACCCAAAGGGTGAGAACAGCACACATGGACACATTTGCTTCCCCTTTCCTCAAATCCACCTCTTCAGTGTTACATGAGTGGGATTTTAATTCTGATATTGCCTATTTTTAAACTCCAGACAAGTTTTGGTTGGAAGGGACCTTAAAATTCATCCTATTCCACCCCCTGCATAGGCAGGGACTCCTTCCACCATCCCAGGCTGCTCCCAGCCCCATCCAACCTGGCCTTGGACACTCCCAGGGATCCAGGGGCAGCCACAGCTTCTCTGGGAACCCTGTGCCAGGGAAATTGTGGATGCGCCCAGTAAAATTCTTTACATCCATGAATAACCCACACATCTCAATAGCAGCTCTGCACCACCCAGGAGTCCTGCTCCCTGATATTTTTCACCTAATTTATTCTTATTCTCAAACTTCCTAAAGATAAAAACACTAATTACCCATTCCAGAGTGCTAATCCTATAAAAACCTACAACCTACTTTCTTTTCCTGTAACCTCCCAACCAACAACTAATTAAAGCAAAGAAACAAGGGAATTAGGAGATAAAAAGTAATTTGGTCTTCAGTTTATAAAGAGCAAACCAGCTTTAATTACAGTCCTGAATATGACACTGCAGCAAGACAATAGTTAAGGCATTGAAAAAGCTTCCTGTTCCTATGTCCAAAATTTGTATTCCCAAAATCTGGATGTACACAGACCCTGGATCACAACAGAGAGATGCCTAAATTCCTGTTGTTAACAGGATTTTCTGTTTGCAGAGGTTTTACTTCTAATCTGGTATTTCCCTTTTCAAACAGATAATTCCTCATTTTTCAAATTGAGAGTCCAAGGAATCTCAGTCTGAAAAAAAACCATTTGACTTTATCATAGTTGTAAAAAATTTCTTATTTAAACTTTTCTTATTTAAACTATTATTTTAAACAAAAAATTTCTTATTTAAACTATTTACATCTTTACTTGGTCGGAAAAATGTTAATTCTTTTAACTTATAAAACAGCAATAATTTTATGATAAAAACTCTATTAAAGAAAAAGAAATATTAAAATTTTATATTTCAAATAAAAAGAAATATAAGCATAATAATTGTTATTTTTTTCAAAGGAGGTGATGACACCTTAAGTAATCCATTAAAAACTCATTCTTAATTTTTAAGAAAAAAATGGAGTTTTCTTTTTTAAACAAAGCTGGATTACTCTTGAACAACAGGATGAAATACCCCAGGCTCCAGTCTAGTCCAGTTGATGCTCCACTGAATGAAAATAAATTACATGGGTCAAAATCAATATCACAAAAATTACCAAAAATCATCAACGTCACCAGGACTCTGGCTCCTGGCCCAGGAAGGTGAAACTCCAAAAACATCTGGAGATAGAATTTTTGCCTCAAAGTACTGAAGGCATGAGAGAAAATCCAATGAAAAGTCTGCTCCTCAAGCAACACACACTGCTGGGGTTCTGTTTTATAAGCTGATGCATCATGGTATCACAGAATCCCGGAATCTTTTAGGATGGGAAGGCTTCCAGGGTCATGGAGTCCCAGCTGTGCCCAGTGCCCACCCTGTGCCCAGCCCGGAGCACTGAGTGCCACCTCCAGCCCTTCCTGGGACACCTGCAGGGCTGGGCACTGCAAAGCTCCCTGGGCAGCCCCTGCCAAGGCCTGAGCACCCTTTTCATGCAGAAATTGCTGCTGCTGTCCCAGCTGAGCCTCCCCTGGCCCAGCCTGAGGCCCTTTCCCCTTGTCCTGTCCCTGTTCCCTGGCAGCACAGCCCGACCCCCCCTGGCTGTCCCCTCCTGGCAGGGAGTTGTGCAGAGCCACAAGGGCCCCCTGAGCCTCCTTTGCTCCAGGCTGAGCACCTTGCCAGCTCCCTCAGCCCCTTGCCAGCTCCCTCAGCCCCTCCTGAGGCTCCAGCCCCTCCAGGGCTCTCCTGAGGTGCTCCTCCCCACAAAACTAACAATGATTGTCTATCATTAAATTCTCTTTTCTTCTCCTTCTCCAAGTAAAATCTGTCCCTTTCCAAAGTTTCCACACAACCCCTGTGAGTTACTCTATAAGAACACTGAAAGTTCCTTGCTATAAAGAGATCCTAAAAAAAAGGAAAATGCAAACAACAGAGTGTCTCAATCTTCTGAACAGCTTGAAACACCACAATAATGACCTTGCTTTAATGTCCAAGTGAGCCCAGAGCTCATTCTGGGATAAAGGCAGGAATATTCACCCAGGAAGGTGTTGCAGGCTTTGTTGAAGTACTGGGAATTACACATGGCCTAACACAAAGAGAGTTGTTTGCTCCCAAAATTGGACTTCAAATTTGAAACCCTGGAGCCCAAAATAACAAAGCAAAGGAGTTCTTCCTCACTGAGCACTTCCACTCAAAATCACTTCAGCTTTCTTTCATGTTCACCACTCAGAATGATGGATTAATTTTATTTTTTTTGTTTCCAAAGACACAACTATTTAAGGAAAAAAAAGGAAGCTTTGCCAACAGCCACTTCTTTTTGCCTTTTGTTTGAAACAAGGAATTTCATATTACAATGTGACGAACTGATTTGCTTTCATATGTTCCATGAAATCAGTCCTAGAAGCAACACCTGATTACAAGCAGAGCAGAGATTACTTCATAACGCTCCAAAAATATAAAAAAGCTGTAACATTAACAATTTTCGCTCCAGTGCTCCATTTCTTGGGGTTTTTCTTAGTGTGGGTTTTTTTTTTTCCTTCTTTGTTTTGTGGTGGTTTGGGGTTGGTTTTTCTGCTGTTTTTGGTTTTGTTGTATTTTTATTTTTAAGAGATGAAGTTATACCTCATGAGAGTTGTTCCAGACATTGAGTCCTCTAATGAGAGTGCAAACCCTTTTCCTTCACATTGCCCTGTTCAACACTTGCCTGGCCTTGCTGGACAAAGGTCGTTTCGTAACACATATTTTGGAGCACAAACAGCAAACAATTTACATTTTCTTCACCCAGAAAGCCACTGATATCTAAGCCACAAAACATTTGAGTTCCAGTCCTTCAAAGAAAATGTTTTAGTGTCAAAATAATGGAGGATCTCTGAAATAACTCTTCACACTTCTACCAAGACACAAAAAAGTAGCATAGGATTAGATTCTGGTAGTTAAGAGCAGCCAAGGAAAAAAAAAAAGTGAAATGTGTTAATTCTCACAGATATTTAAATGTTTTTGTTACATCATCTGTGCTGAATCTGCTTGTATCTATAGTGTCCATAATTTTATCCTGATGGGAGACGGCAGGAAAGCAGTTCCAGGAGGGATGCAAGGAGTTAATGGAAGGGTGTAGGAATTAACAGGACCAATAGGAAATGCACTCCTTGAAAAGCAGCAGATGAAACAACTCCCTCAAAAAATGAAAAATTAGAGCAACGCAAAAGGCTCCCTCATGGAAGCACAGAGAATTCCCAGCTAGAAAGGACCCACAGGGATCATCAAGCAGAATTCCAAGCTGGAAGAGACCCACAGGGATCATCAAGTGGAATTCCAAGCTGGAAATGACCCACAGATATCACTGAGTGGAATTCCAAGGTGGAAAGTACCCACAGGGATCATCAAGTCCAGTTCCAGGCCATCAGCACAATCCAGAGCTAAAATATTCTCCAGCCAGTTCCCAGTGCTCCCTCTCACTGCCAAAGCAGCAGGTCCTGTCCTGGAGAAACATCTAAAACAGAGCAAAAAGTGGCTCCCTTTGATAAAACCCAAGAATTCCCATTTCTCCATGGAATCCCAGAATCCACTTCAGAAATCCTCCATCCAAAAAAAATCTGTCCTAAGGTGCAAGGAAATGGAATTGTTTTAGCTAAGACACATCCATGCTGCTTCTTTTCTTCAGGACTACAAAGTTATCCTAAGCGTAAAAGAGGCTAATTAGGAATAAATTAAAAAAAAAAACAAACCAAACAACAAACCAACCACCAAATGGAGGGGTTTGTTTTCATGCCAGATTTTTCATTTGATAAAAATGGGAAAGTCCATCCCCGGAAGCAAAGAAAATCACAAAAAAAAAACCCCAAAAACAAATCCAAACCAAATTAATAATAATAAACCCAAACAAACAAACAAAAAAAATCAAAAAAATTTCTCTGTCCTTTCAATCCCAACAGGAAGATGAGCAAGTGGAGCTGAGGGGAGAGTGGTGCAAGGGGAAAAATGGGAGCTTTACACATCCCAAAAAATCTGGGACATCAGAATTCATTCCTGGTGAGGAGCTATGCATAAATCCATGTGGAAGAATAGCAGGGGGAGCTGCAAATTGAACTCCAAAAAGATCTCAGACTTAAGGAAAGCAAAATGAGGTGGTTGAGGGTGGAACCAGATGGGCTTTAATGTCCCTTCCAAGCCAAACCATCCTGGGATTCTGTAATCTATTATTTAAATGGATGGGATGAAAATCAGGAGCAGGGAGAGAGGGAAGGAAGGGCAGGGTGACCAAGGGGCTCCTTTGGAAGGGGAGATCACTCAGTAGAACTGCACAGGGAGGGCAGGGAGAAAGGAAGAACAGCATTTATCCAGATTTAGGCTAAATTTTAGGATTGGGAAATAATTCCCAAGGTCAGCATGTACAGCACAAGGAAAGAAGCACTAAACTGGATTAAAACTTGGCTTAAGGACAAGGAGAACAGAATGTCTTTAGAACACAGAAGAAAGGGGACT